AAAAAACTAACTAGAACACAATTATAAGTGCAAAGAGGCAGGAGGAAGTTGCTTAACTACGCCTTGGGGTAGAGATGTTTGAAAGTTGGATTGGTCACCTTTGTGAGACTATCATAGATAACAATCTACTTGCCTGGATATACTGGAGCTGAAATAATTCACTTACATATGTATCCATGCTGCAAACCAGTTCACACCAGTGGACTACATGCCCACACCAGCATGCTCCCACGAGTTCTATGTCAGCCAACCCACTGCCTGTGATCTGGGAATAAGAGCTCCATCACCCCAGGCTCCCAGGCAGCAGGAATGTCCAACAGGCTTGGAGCTCAGTTCTTTCATGTTCACCCACACAATTCATAACCCTCACCACAGTCTCAGCCACATCATCCTCAAGCTCCCACCATATGAAGAGGCTGCCACCGACACAGACACGGACACTATGATCCCTCTGGCTGCTTCACAGTCTCATATACACCTCTGTCACCTCCTTCCATAAGAATCAAACACTTGTCCCAAAGGTACAACAACTTTCGTTGAGGCCATCGCTCTTCATGAGCTCAAGATACTAGGCACAAAATGGCAGTCTCATGGGTCAAGGAAAGGAACTGAGAAGTCTTTGCAAACTTCATTTCAATGTTACAGGAAGAATACATGCTGGAAATTACTAAACAAGATTGCCCTTGGTTTTCCTTGATAATTATTCATAACTTTCTCTTGAGAAGCTTGTCTCAGATTCTGAGATTCTTTTTTTTTCTTCAATTTTTTAATTCTTTGACACAAGGTCTCACTAATGCAGGCTGGTCTTGAACTCACTATGTAGCTCAGGCTGGCCTCAAACTCGCAGTGGTCCATCCATCCACCTGCTGGGATCCCAGGGATGCACCACCATGCCCATCAGTCTCAGATTCCTTTAGACAGCCCACATGCAGACCTTCTGGGGAATGTGTCAGTTTCTGTTATAGCATTAAAAAAACACCTCTGGACTTCCACATATAATGAAAAACATTAATAAAACTGTAGGAATGCTATTTTAAAAAGCATAATAAAGACATTATCAACTTAAAATAAGGGCAGCAACAGTAACGCTGCATACCTTAAAAGCAAAGGAAAAAAGTGCTTAACACCTTAGCCTAAATTAATCAGCAGTTAAGAAATTAGAAAAAAGCATCGCCTTATATATTAATACAAGTGAAATTAAAAAGGAAAACTGAAGTAGTAATAAAACTTTTATACAGAATAGTGAGGCTGGGGATTTAGCTCAGTAGTGCCACACCTGCCTGGCAAGCTCAAGCTTATGAGTTCAATTCCCAGTACTAAAGAAAAGAAAAGAAAAAAAAGAATGGAATAGTAAGACTGTTTGCTTTCCAACGGTTCTGCTTTTATACTACAGTACCACCAAGTGGCAGAAGGACACACTGCAATCCTAGGTCTGCTAGTTGAATACTTACATCATTCAAAAATGGCAACTGTTATAGGCTTAATTTTGTGCCTCATCCTCAAACAGTTGTAGGTAGAAGCCCTATCATTCAGTGTGACTGTATTTGGAGAGCAAAAGGAAAGGAAGTAATAAAGGTCCAACGTGGTCCTTAACAACATGACCCTAATCTGACAGAGGTGACGCTTGTATTGAGATACAACACAACCAAGCGTGGTAGTGCACACCTGTAATCCCAGCACTTAGAAGGCTGATGCAGAAGGACAACAGGGAGCTGGAGGCCAGCCTGGGCTACATAGCGACGTCCTAGCTCAAATACAAAACAAAACAACCATCCAAACAAACGAGACAACATAGCTCTCTCGGCATGCACCCAAGCATGCAAGCAAATACTCAGGAAAGGCCGTGTGAACAAGAATTACAAAGTGGTTGCCCACAAGACAGGAAGAATGCCCTCACCAGGAACCGACATCTTCATCTCTAGAATTGCTGAAGTAAATTTCTGTTGTTTAAGCCACTCCATCTATGATAAATTATTCTGGAAGTTCAGCAGGTTAAAACAGATACAGTCCACCTTAGTTCCCAAATTATTCTATGACAAAGGCAGTGATTTAAAAATTAGGACTAAAAGTCAACACCTGTCTTTAAGAATTCTACTCCAAAAAACTACAGAAACAAAAGTGAAGTGCCTTCTGCCAAGTTGTTTGAAAAGAGGCTGTCAATGACAGTTCACAGGTCACATTTAACTCTAGGGGTAAACTCCCTCAAATCAAGAACTCCGGTTCCTCAGAATGTCTGCCTTTCTTTGTCGGCACAAAAATCTCAAATGAAAAAAATCTGTTTTTCCAAATGACAACAATTAAATCAAACAAAAAGTAGATGTACTTTAAAAATTATAAAACCCTTCTGTTCTCAAGGTGTGTATATGTGTTTTCAGAAGCATACTTATTCATTTGCAAAACTATATTCCCTGAGCTTGGAGTGCAGCATGGATTCCAGAGCCACACTACCTTTGCGTTACTGCTCTGCTGTTTAGCAACTGTAGACTTTAGGCTTGCTACTAAAACACTGCTGAAGATCCCTCACCTGTAAAAGTAAAAAGAGCACCCTCCTATAACACAGGTTAAGTCTCCCTTTTCCAAAATGCTTGAGGCCAGAAGTGTTTCAGATAAGCAATACCCAATCTCTAGTTATATTATACTTGAAAGCCTCCCCTTTGATCTTATCATTCATATTCCATTCTATTTCCCATGCCCTAAGAATAAATTTCATTCACTTTTTTATAAACTGAGTTATAATCATTACTATAACTAGCATCACATGGACAAAACCTTTTCTTAGTATCACAGTACAGAAAACAAATAAGGTAAATCAAAGAGAAAACTTGGTGCCTCAGATCACAGGTGAACTGCCCCTCTTTTTCTTCATATACGGCATCCCATTTCTGCATTATTTTTTATAATATAGTGCACAAAACTCCTGAGATGAGGTGCTAGTGGGCACCCAGGTGGATGATGTAGGTTTTGTTCAATTTTATGACTTGAAATGTTTCATTTTCCCAAATTTTCCCTAGAGAATCCAATTATAGAGATAGTTGACAATTTAATCAAAATGTGTCATTTCACTTACTACAGTGTCCTTTCTGACCTGTTCAACTACTCTGCTGTGGTTTTAAGTACATGAGCAGGAATGCCAATCAATTTCTCCAAATAAGATACTGTATTTCCTGTTCTGTCCCTCCTGATGGGCAACAGAACTACAAAGTATGAAGACACTAAAGGGAAGACTTAGGAACTGCTACCTGCATCCTCTATCATCTAGGAAAAAGGAAAGAAAGCTCTAGGGAATGTGGTAATTACCTTCTCCCCAAGCAACTTCTTTTCATAAAACTTTAATTTACTTGGAGCCTACTTTATCTATAAGCTGTTAAAAATACCACAAATACTAGGCTGGATAAGCTGTTTCATAGTGAACTTAAAATACAGTATTTTCAATCATTTTTTAAAATCCTGCCTCACAGGATTTAAACTTCTGTTTTTCCTATGAATCACTAACGGTTTATAAGAATTTAAAGTTTTATTTCTCACTAACAGCTATTAATGGTTTATAAGATTTTGAACTTTTATTCCTCACCAATAGTTACATTCAAAGTTAAAGTAGGCAACAAACACTGCTGCAGAAAAAATATAAGGCAATGGAGTCTAATAAAATAGGTCACAAAATCCATTTTATTATCTCAAATTAAAATATCTACCTTGTTTTTCTCTTCTTTAAAGCTATTATTTCTATGACTGTTAATGCTAACCTTTCTGTTTTATTCATTCCATTGAGTTATATTAAAACTTCTTACTGAGGTTTTAATTTGTATTTCCTAGTGCCTAATGGTAATCAATGACTTTTCATGTTATTGAAAAAAAAAGATATTATTTCTTTCTAGTTTTGATATCCTTGAAAGTGATTCTCATTAAATCTGTTTTACAGAGATAAAATGATTTGCCCAAAGTCTTTTAGAGGCTATTAGCAGAGCCTACACTAGAACAAAACTCTTTCAACTCCTAGGCTACCTTTCCTTCCACTATATCATACTTGCTATAGATCAACTTCTCGAATCTTAAAGTACAATGTAATGAGAAAGAATCGTTCAGTACACAGAGTATACACAGTTCTAGAAAAATTTTAGTCTGAAACAAAACAGTCAAGTGCAGAGGTCAGCAAACAAATAATTTAAATGGGTCAGGTGTGTGTTGAGGAGGGGAGTCAAAGTTTAAATACTTAAAGAATTAAACTTAATTCTGTAGACACGGTATTGAGCAGCAAATGTAAATTTCTTAGGATGGTCCCATTTGGGCACCTACATGGAAATCAAAACTATAAAATAGAACAAGGACTGTAATACCCAAAATGTTTTACATTTACAAAGTCAATTCTAAAATAAAAGGTTGAAAACATACCATCATTTAAAAAAGGAACAAAAGAGTTTATTTTAGATGGACAGTCTGATCAGGTGTACACCTATAATCCTGGGGGAAGGAGGGGCTGAGGGAGAAGGATTTCAAGTTCTAGCCCAGCCTGGGCAATTTAGTGACTCAGCAACACGCTTCTGAAAATAAAAAAAGGCTGGAGGTGTAGCACAGTGCAAAGCTGCTGGGTTCAAACCCTAGTACTACAGGAACAAACAAAGACAGGGAAGAGAAAATGGAAACAGAGAACAAATGAGATACATGGACAAAACACCAGGTGGCTGTTATTAGTCACAGTACTTCACGCACTCACAGATTCAGGAAAGACTGGACCATCTAAAATGGCAAGTCCCCAAGCTTCAACCACTCAACAGTTCACTCGGGCACAGCACATTGGTTTCTGTATCCCAAGCATCGCTCAGGCAGGTGTCATTTCAACCACCTGATTCTTGTAATGAATAAATGTAATAAAACTTTGATTTTTTATATTTTTTAACTTACAAAAATTAATGAAAAATACACCGTTTTAAGTCATCCTGTAAATAACTGGACTGGTGAGTGGTTAAGTACTCCAAACCTAATGGCCAAACAGCAGCACTCACCTCTCTAGCAGCACAGTCATGAGGAGCTTCTTCTTTATTAACTTTTCCTTTGGGAAATCCCCAGCCTGATTTTGCTAGGTACCCCTGAACCAGTAGTACCTGAAAAAGAAGCAAAAATAGAACTCAAACTTGCCCTCCTTTCCACTGCTCCGAAAATCAAAGGTGTTGCTCTCCTCATTTCAAGTTACTACCAGCAATAACTGTAAATGACTTCCCTAAGTCTAAAAATACTATTACTGTGAAGAAAGGCACTTTGCCTATTTTAGAAAGTGTTTCTTCAACAATAAAATGACACCAGTTTGGACTGAGCCATAAATGCAACAAGTACAAAATCCTAATACCCAGAATATAGCTAAAATATGCAAAATTTGGACCTTTAGCCCTACTGATCTTAGGACACTATATACCCAAGTAAGGTCACTATACAACAGATTTTTATAGACTAAAATCTAACAGATGACCACCAACCTTGTCTTATTTTATTACACTCACATTTTCAAGTGTTTCATCAAGAATAATTGCACCATATGTTGGTACTCCCATTTTATATTCCTTCCATTCATCCAAAACTTTTTCCACATCTTCACCTTGAGGCAGCAAAAATGGACAATGACTGAAGAGTACAGTGTTAAGGAAGTTCCTTTCTCCCTTAATACAGCTTGAAAAATTACATACAGAAAGAGACCTATTTAAATGCCCTGCGTATTTTAGATGAAATTATTCAACATACTGTTTTGCTTAGGTTTAATATTTTTGGTTTATTCCATATCCATTTCTCTCTCTCTCTTTTTTTTTTGGTAACAGGGATTGAACTTGGGTCCTTGAGCTTGCAAGGCAGGCCACCGAACCACTAAGCTAAATCCGGCCCATTTTTAACAGGGATTGAACTTGGGTCCTTGAGCTTGCAAGGCAGGCCACCGAACCACTAAGCTAAATCCCCGGCCCATTTTTCTCTTGAATAAATTCATTGTTAACTCCTGTATTTAGCCTAGACACAAATCAAGTAAATTTTGGATACTGAAGAATCCTAGATCCCTGAGTTAACACAAATGAACTTAAAACCTGTAACATTTCAAATACTTCTCAAATTTGTATCAAGAGTGAAAAGATACTGAAAATGACAGCAAGAAACAGAAGTACATGGTGTATGGAGAGAGGAAGGGATAGAAGGGGAGGAGGCTGGGAGACAGATGGAGAATGAGAAAGAAAATACATACTGTGAAAATAAACCATCAGAAAACACACACATAAACACACACAAAGTGGTTAACTGTGGGAAGCAGAACTAGGGATAAGATACAAAACATCCCATACCCTCAAATTTATGTACTACATACATGTATTGGTTTCATAATGAAAAACATTTTAATGATGAAGATTTAAGAATTAAAGAGAAAAGTTAAATCAGGGTATTGCCAGCTAAAACAAACAAACTGATATGCTCCTCCTGGACAGTGTACAGTAGTAAAGGGGGGGGGAGTAAAACCCAAATCCTGAAATTATATGCCTTTCAATAATCCATGCCATGAAATACCTTATCACTTAAATTGCTAATGATGAAAACTGTGAGTAAATTTATAATTTATAGTAGTATTTTTCAGAGAGCCTACTTTTTAAGATTCTCAAGTCCTCTGTAGACAATTTGTACTATATTCTCATTTTGTAATAATTACATGGGTAAGCACATATAGGGAACATCACCACAGGATTTAAGAGATCATACTAGGGGGCTGGGGATTTAGCTCATTGGTTCCAGTGCCTGCCTCGCAAGCACAAGGACCCAAGTTTGATCCCCGGTACCAAAAAAAAAAAAAAAAAAAGAGATCAATTGGTTCCAGAATTACTTTAATCATTGTGAGCTAATAAAATCAGAATCAAATCTAATATATGTACATGATAAATAATGTGTTATATGCATTGGGGTCAAATGGTATCAAATGATACCCTAACATGAAGATTTCTTAACAGATGAAACAGGAAGAGGTGGTATAAGAACTGGTAGTACAGGGACACCAAACTCAGAAGAACCTTTAAGTTAGCACCATATTTCCACTGGGCAAAACAAAAACATCACATTATATTCATTTTATTATTTAAAATTTTATGTGTTCCACAATTTTGTATTTTAAAATATTTGATTTTATAAGTTGACAAGAAAAAGGCCCTCATCAAGTCCAAAGAAGTAAATTACCTATGACAACATCATGATTAAAAGACAGATACAAGGTTAATCTCAGTATTATTCCATGCCTTCATCTGGGGAGGGTGAAAACAGGATATAAGTTTGGACATGTTAATCGTCTCATGAATAACTATAGATCCACAGAGGCTAAGATTCTGAAAGTTATTTACCAGTACAACTGTGGTTTAACTTTTTCCAGTAAAATTCGTTTTGAGTTATAAAAGTCATCACAAAATTTTTTAACCTAACCAAAGTATGTTTTAAATAGGTGTTTCTTCCATTAAAAAATTAACCACAGAGAAACATAAAAAAAAACCCAGAAACAGAAATAATGTCCAATACTTTAGAAGAGCATGTATATTGTTTCTTTTTTGTTCTTTCTCCTTAAAATGTCCCTCATAATTTCAAGGTACACATAATCTCCAAAAAATGAAATGTTTACCTTTTATTTTTCTATCTGTAACATTTATTTTTTAAAAATACTAACAAACCAGGCACTTGCATGTGCCTAAAGCACCAAGCATCTTAGAAGGCGAGGCAGAAAGACTGCTTATTTAGGAGTTCAAAGCCAGCCTGAAATCCTGTCTGAAATGAATAAATCAATCAAACGAGCAAGGAATGAGTAGAAAGCACAGAAGCTCTTGTCCAAGGCGTTTTAACTGTCAGGATAGTGCTAGTGTTGGCTAGATCCAGAGGGCTGCTGAGGATATCAGTTCCAGAAATGCAAACGGATGTGAAAGACAAGGAAATCAAGGAAGTGAGGCTAGAATTGTGCTGTCCATGAGGAAACTAGTGTCAAGGTCATGGGTATGATTTTCAATGAAGAATAACCTTCTATGCCTTCCTTTTAATTATATGCACTAAAGTTATTCTGTATCAGTCAACTGCTTTCCTTTCTCCCTATTAGCACCCTTCTATTTTCTTCCCTGAACTACTCACCACTTTGATCAATCTCTTAGTAATATCCTAATTCCTTTGTCTCACTGTGTTCTGAATATAGCTTCCTAACAACACTTCAGCCAAGCAAATCTAGGACGCTCCTCTATCCACATCACTGAAGAAAAACTGAGACTACGCACAATTTACCAGGGTAAAACAGGGTGTAAAAATTGTCCACAGATGCACAGCTAGTATATGGGAGGGAGAATGTGGCTCCAAAAGTCATGCATGCAGTCTTTCCACTCAGTATCCAACAAACTCAACTTCTCACCTCATCATTCCCCTGTAAAACTTCACTTTCCTACAAATGGAATGGCACATTCATTCTTCAACTGCTGAAATCAGAAACCGTCACTTCTGTTCCCCAGGTATTCACGTTATCCCCAATTATATGTAAGTATCTTTCAAATTTGACTTTTCCAATAAACTTTTACTGTCACAGGTTTTCATATTCTCTGTCATAAATAACAGTATCTCAGCATCTAATCTTGTCTTCTTCCACTTCATTGTGCAAAGTACTCTTCAGTAATCTTTCAAAATTCTCCTCATACAGAGAGAAATGTGACAAAATGTGAATAAAAAATACATGAAAGGTATGATGGCAATTCACTGATTTTTTTTTAATTTTCATGTAATTTGAAGCGTTTTTTTTCCTGCAAAAGAAAACATTTTTTGAAAATTCTGTATGTTCTTGTTCCTTTTCAAGTAAATGTGGCCCAAAAGACTCCTGTACATTTTAGATGACCAATTACCCTCTGGCATCATTTATTTCTCATTTACACTAAAATACGTATTTTACTTTTTTTTTTTTTACTTCCTCACAGATCTTTCTCACATAGATTTCCTCCAAAGGCAACCAATTAAAAATTTTTTTAATTAAGAGTCCATCAAAAATATGTATACACACCTCAGAAAATTTGTATCAACAGAAAAAACTGTATAAAATATTTTAATGCTAAATTGAGACATCATGAGATTAACACAAGTTACCTCTGACCTCTACAATTACAAGAGGTGTTCAAAATGGTGGCCATTAGCTCCCAGACATTTATTTAGTATGGTAAACTGCTTCTTGGGTAACCTTGGTCATTGACATTGATGTACATGTATTTTCAATTTCTTCTCTAAGGGCTGGCAGTGCACTGGGTTTTCTGTAATAATATAACCTTCAGGATACGAAGGTACCACCACCATCTGTTGAAAAAAAATCATGCTATTTTTCTTTTCTTGATGTTGGTATACCTTTTTAGGGCAGACGCTGTAGTTAACATGCATTAATCACCATGTACCGCCCTAAATAATTCACTACATGCACAAATTAGCTTAATTCTCAAACTTACTCTCTGAATTAGGCCTCATTACTAACCCTTTTTCAGATGAAGAAACTAAGAACAGGAAAAATTAAATAACTTCCCCCAACATCTTTGAGTAAATTCAAGATTGAACTAATAATAGCCCCCAAATCTTGATCCCTCTCTTCTCTTCTATTCTCACTGAACTCTGTACTGTACTATTTATCTTACCACATTGAACTACAACTCTGTTCTCGTTTCTCATCTTCTTCACAACACCGAGTCTAACTTGTTCACTGTATTTCCTTATTTAATGGAAGAACCCACCAAAGTTCCTTCCCCACAACTTCAAACTAAAAGAAGTGTACCTCAAACAATTTTATGTTTACTTTTTAATAGCAAAGAAAGTACAAAAACTCACGTGCACAATCATGCGCAAAATGTGATTCATAACTCTAAAATATATATAGATCTACTGTAGTAGAAACATAAATCTACACAAAGTGACCGAAACAAAAGATAGGTTAAGTAGACTGTAAAAACCAAAGTTTTCTCCATAACACCTATCACAAACCAAAGATGGCACTTAGTATACTTTTATCTCCCTTTGGTTCTTCTTTAACTCCTACACACTGAATGAGCCAAACGGTTTGACCACCTCTTTTAAAATCTGTTTCCCATTAGTCTTTTCTTTAGTTTCATTACTGTGGCTCAGAAGCTTCCTATTCCTCATCTCAAGTTATATGACAAGGCCATTGTATACTTCAACCTACCTAATAAATCTCATGGAATACCATTTTAAAATGATCTGAGTAACACTTCTTACTTAGAAACTTGCTTAAAAACTTGCTATAATCTGATTAAGCTACCCAAAACAGTATATCATCCATTTTCTATAGAATCTAAGGAGTTCTGTATTTAATGGAACTCAAGAAAGTGACAGGGAGCAGAGTAAGGAGTATTTCTGGTCACCAATTCCTACTCCAACTCTAGTTCTAACTGAGCTTGCAGGTACAAATCCACCTGAATGTATGCTTCATGCCTGAACAAAAACACTCCACAATACAAAACGAAGCGTCTTAGTTCAATCTGTAAGAATCCCTACAATGTGTATCATGTACCTTTTCACCTGTATCTCCTATTACAATCTCCTAAGAACTCTGTGATCAACACAAACTAATTTATTTTCCGAGATAGCCTTAAAACGGTTCCAGCTCCATCCCTGTTTTTAACCTAGAACATATTCCTCACTTCTGTCTACATAAGGAATCTTGTATTCCCTTAAAAATACAGCTTTGCCTAAAATCTTCCTACCTTTTTCTCAAATTCTAAAAATTTATCAAGATCATTAGCAATTTATCTACTGTTTGCCTTGTGGAAGTTACTTTTATAATCTTATTCATGTGAGTTATTTATTATACATAATGACATGTTGCTGTATAATACATATGTAGAGCAAAAAAAGCTTTGAAGAAAAAGATTCCTTTGTATTTACTACAGTACAAATAAAACTTTTTTTTGTTTTTGTTTTTTTGAGACAGCATCTCTCTATATATATATTCAGGCTGGTCTTGAACTCACTCTGTAGCCCAGGCTGGCCTTGAACTCACAGCACTCCTCATGCCTCAGCCTCCCAAGTGCTGGGATTAGAGGCATGTGCCTCCATGCCCAGCTAATAAAAGTGCTTTTAACACCGTATTTGGTAATTAAAAAATCGCTAAGTAAATCAGAAAGGTAATCTGATTGAAGAATGATATAAGTATGAAGTTAAAACAGATCAGTTTTAGAAACAGATGTTCTAAAACAAAAGATTTCTAATCAGTTACATTTCAAGAAATCCTATGTGTAAAAATAATACTACCAAGTTGTGTCTATTTTATAGACACAATTTACATATACACACACACACATATATTATATATATATATTTGGGGGGGGCAGTGCTGGGGATCAAGCCCAGAGTCTCAATGCATGCTAAGAAGGAGCTCTACCACGAGGCTACATCTCTAACCCTCATTATATATATATTTCACACTTTTTACAAATCAAGGAGATGTTATTCAATAAGTTAAAAATCTCAAAGACAAGTAAAAGAAAATTCAAACTATTTTATTAACGAGAATGAAAGACGGTCATAGTAACAAAAAGGATATCAGCTTTAGCAAAGTCTCTTATCCCACACTGAGGTAATCCTGGTGTGTTCTGCATGTAGAAATCCAAGTAAAACCAATGGGCAAGCTCAATCTGAAAACAAACTCGGATTGCATTGTCTCTTTCCTCGCTGGGAATATGCAAAATAAATCGGCTGTCAAAAACAAAACACATACAAAAATTACATTTACCAACTGTAATTATTTATTTTAATCTATGTAACTGTTTTACCCCTGACCCATCAACTTAGAAAAGGAATCAAAAGCAGTCCTAATCAAGGAAGCAATCAAAATTTTTGGAAATCACCATGAGAGAAATAAGTTTTTCCGATAGAGAAAACATGAGGAGATACATTTATCTCTAAATAGAATTTAAGAGTCTGTGTATTCTGTTTACAAGAATAGACATAAAAGCTCATGAACAATGTGGGCAGGAAAACATCCTTCACTAGGATTTCCTTCCATGTCTGGCAACACTTCCAACAATATATGAAAATATATTTGTAAAATTTAATACAAATATTTCATATGTGCTTAATTAACCTTCACGTATAAAACTTTATAAAGAAATACTGTCAAAAAAAGAAACTGATATTCGCTTGCTGCTCTTTAACATAACAGACTTCCCAAAGAACCAGTACAGTCCTGGATTAAACTCACTTTCAGTGAAATTTGTTTTTTTAAATCCAAAATTGTGTTTTCTAAGTACAGTGGAGAAAAGATGGAAAAATGTCTTATATTGTGTAAATGTACATAATGTCCTGTATTATACATGCACATATATATGATAATCCTCTTCTTCCTGAAACAGATATGGTAGAATTTATAAATCCAACTGAAAATGATTTACAGCAGTCATTAAGCATGTGTTTTTTTTATTTTTTACTCTTGGAATTTAGAGCTAAACTACCAATGTTTTCAAAAAGGGACAAAATGAACTATGCAGAACATTAATAAAAACAAATAAAAATCAGAGCAAGATGTTCCCTGTGGATCCTAATATAAATGCCTATGATTTATCTTTGGAGTATGAAGCTGAGAAACAGATCTAAGCTGGGGTTTCGCACACAGACCCAAGTGTCTTCATTTTATTCACTTGAAACCAGGGGCAGGTTAGCAGTCTAAACACTCCAAAGGAGAGCCAGGAAGCCACTGCCCTCACAACACTAGCCCAGCAATCTCCCTTTAGTGAGGACAATGCTCTCAATGTCAATGATGCCATGTTCACTCACTGTGGAATGTGCATAACACCAATAAACGGCTTTCAAAAGTTTAACAGCTACTTATGTGGTGTGTAGTATGTGAACTGGACGAGAAGACAATCTCTTCCTGTCAGTTCAGAAATTCTACGAATTCCTACAGATTGTACCAAAGATACTAGATGCAACAGTAATTTGCAGAGAAGAATCTACTAATTTTTTCCACTAAAGATTTTTGGTAACTTCTAGCGACCATTAGAGACACATTCAACTAAATCAAATGAGTTCACAGGGTTTTTTTAAAGTCATTCTTTAAGTAAAATTTTATTGAGAACATAAACATATTTAATGTGTACTGTTTATTTCTACATATGAATGTACCCTTGATCATCATCACAATCAAGGTCACAAACATATTCATCACCTTCCAAATTACCTCTCTTCCCTTTGAAAGCACTGTGCCAACCCTATCTTTGTATTTCCAATCACTGATCTGTTTTTGGTCACCAGAGATAAGTTTGCATTTTTCCACAGTCTTAATGGAATCATACTGAAAGTCTTGTGTTTTGTCTTCTTTCACTTGGCTCAATTGTTCTTAGTGATTTTTAAAAACTAAAAATAGTATCAGCAGTTTGATCATTTACATTACTCATTAGTGATGGTACTAAATGACTCGGCTCTTCTCAAGTTTCCAATCAATTCTCAAGGAAACATTTTTAAATTACAAGATTAGTGTAACATCCAATAAAGAATAAGGAAAATAAGTCAAACATACAAAGAGTAATCTGTTTCAATACAGAAAAATGATGGGGGAAAGGAGCTTAAACTGCACATATACTAAAAACAAAAGATCAAATATACAAAATCTAATGACATTAGCTAAGGCATAAAACCAAAACCTTGCTGTACATACAATATTTGGGATCTGGATCCTGCCCAACTATTTAATCTCTTATTGCTGAGAGATTCTTTGTGTCTAGTGAGACCTATTTCTTGGAACTTATACTGCCATTCTTACACTGTATTCATCTGCCTCTTTCCACATCCATCTAACAAAACGATAAATCCTCTCTCCCACCTCTGTTGGACTGGAGATTGAATCCAAGGCAAGCACTCCACTGAGCTACATCCCTAGAAATTGCTCATTCATTCTGAGACTTACCAGGTAAGTACACCAGACTCCTCAAAACAGACTTACATATGAATGTCTGTATATATGTGTATATATATGAATTATATATGAATATATATGGTCAAAATATACAGTGAATGTTATGGTTTTCTAAATTATAAAAGACACATTGCCTTTAATCCCCTTCGAAACATTCCTCTTGATCTGAACATTCATCTCATTATTCTTGCCATTTTCTGTTTTCAAAGTCCTTTATGAGGTGTGATAAAAAATACAGTGAATGTTGCTGCCAAGTGCCATCCAACTTGGAAAGGCAGACTCATAAATATATGGTGTATCCTCATCCACCTTATTCACTGGATCTGCCACAGTGTGAATTCTAACTCTTCCTCACAGTCAAAAATGACAATTAAAGGTAATCAGTCTGAATCAATGCAGGACATCTAGGATTTATGACAGTGAAACTGAAGACACTCATCCAGAATCACTTCAGAAGCTGCAAGTACAATGGGATAAATGTGTTCAAAGCAAGGGGGGACATTTTGAGGAAAATTAAAAACAGAAACATGTCTTTTACTGTAACATTTTTAAAAAGTTTTTAAAACATATTTTTTGATCACCATATTTTTTATCACACCACATACACTCAGACTCCTATCACAGGAATTGTACAGTTTTTACTAACATCCATAAACATTTGCAAATTAGTTCAGAGGAAAACATTGTATTTTTGCATACTTTTATTCCCAACAGTCTAGCAAATTATAGTAATAAAAATATGGAAAGATATGACCTAGATTATAGTTTACCTTTAAATGCTTATATATTCTTCTTCCTGGTTAAGCATGCACTAATTTGTTCCTCCCAACAAATACAGCTACAAAACATGAACAGATACACAAAGTAGCTACTTGGGGACTATGAAAGAAAATAGCAGGAAGTTCTGAAAAGGCCAAAATCAAAGTGAATCTACCCCTTTCCACTGTCTGTTATCCACTATCCTGGATCAGGGGTTGGAAGTAGGCATAATCCAAACAGGGAAAGCTCCAAAAGCCCGTGAATTCTGCCTCAATGATTAAGAAAAGAGTCTACTGGCATGCTCTAATGCATGGGCGAAATCCTAATTTTCTTTGCTCCTTTCTCTGAGTCCCAAGCTCCCAACTAGTCCTATCATGATTTCAGAGGTAACAGCAATGAGGACCTAAGACCCAAAGGGACAAGAACCTTCCTTTTCAATTTCAAGAGCTGTACGAGTTCAGAAGAGTAAGGACAATCTCTATTGCTTTTTCTGTCTGTTCTCTGGCTGGCTAGTCCCAGACGGAGACAGTAACACAAAGTGTACAGCATGGTTTCTGGGTATAGGACCAAAAAGGCAAGCCTAGAAAACACAAGTTTTAGAGACGGCAAGGAGGAGAACAGCTAGGAAAATGAGCACATAAAATTGTTTATGAAGTCTAGGCCTCAAGCTTGATCTGCACATGTTTAGACTAGACTACGATTGTCTACTTTAATCTTGAAAAAATGAACAAGACCACCACCCAAGTCCATAATTGGCCACCGGGGCGGGGGGCGCAATACAACAGAAAGCACTGCAACAGAGAGTCCTTGCCAAGAAAGGTGGCACAGGCCTGTAGCCCCAGCACTCTACAGGCTGAGGCAGGATGGCTTAAGTTCAAGGCTAGCCTGAGCTGCACAGCAAGATGACCTCTCAGAAAAAAACAAACCCTCCCACAAAGCTAGTCCTCCTCTTTCTGAACTCAGTTTGAGGCATTTCTATTGACTTCCACTACGGAAGATGAGGCATTAACTCTATTTCCACTCCCACTCCCCCATACTTTTCTGTCTTTTTTTTTTTTTTTTTTTTTTTTTTTTTTTTTTTTTGGTACCAGGGGTCGAACTTAGGACCTTGCGCTTGTGAGGCAGGTGGCGGAACCACTGAGCTAAATCCCTGGCCCTCTTTTTTTTCTGGTTGACACTTAAACTTTTCCAATTTTTATTTTTTATTAATACATGTTTGCAGTAATAATTACATTCCTCACGAGGAGCTGGTACAAGTTTCTAACATCCTTTTCGTCCCTTTCCTTCTCTCCCCTAACCCCTTCCCCTCCATCACTTGGTTCTCCCTCCCATTTGTAAAATATCTACTTCCTTATTCTCTATTCTCTATCTTTTAGTCTTTATATCTTGGGTTTCTCATATAAGAGAAATCACGCAATATTTAAGTTCATGTATCCGATTTATTTCACTTACTATTATGGTCTCATGGTGCATGCACTTTCCTATAAATGATTTAAGCTTACCCTTTATGACAGAGTAGTACTCTATTATTTATTAATATTACATTTCCATTCATATGTCTAAGGCTTACTGCTCAGAGGCAGACATAAGAAAAGCAAAGACCTCCTCCAGCCTGCCCAGAAAATTCCAAAATTCCACAAGACTTGCCTTCATGGCCTTCAGTAACTTTCTTTACCTGAACCTTAAGATTCATGCATATGGGCTTCATCTTATACAATTATTAAGAGTGAATTATGGAAAAGGATGGGTACAAAAGAGGAAACTGACAGGACTTAGCATACTGCCAATCACGTCATCAGTCATGCTCTAGAAGACACCAATGGGAAGCACCGAGAACAAGCTTAACGTTTCAAACTTCTAAAAAGTGCCATACGTTATCTGAGAGGTGGGTAAGGAAAGAGTCCTCTGAGCTTTCAGTACACCCAACACAAAAATTCACTTCTCCCATTTTTCAGTACTCTCTAATTCGGAGGGAAATGACAGTACTACAATAGTTTCTCTTTCAGGTCTGCTAAGTCAATGTTTT